ATATATACAGCGGGTAAAATAAGTATTGAACACGTCACCATTTTTCTCAGTAAATATGTTACTTTTTTTAATTTTCTAATGCTTTGCAGAAATGGGAGCTGATCGAGCCGCTGATCCAACAGCAGGACCTCTGTGTGGCAATTTCTGCCTTCACTGCAGGTTCAAGGGTGAAGATGGAGCCCTGCAACAGCAAAGAGCCGAAACAGGTTAGAAGAAAGAAAAACAAGTTTCAGAATGCAGTATTTGTGTGTGAATGATTGAAGTGTGAAGTGCTTTGGAGTTTTATGGTTTTATGATAAAGTACTATATAAGTTCAGTCCATTTACCATTTCTGTGAACTCTGAACTGAGCCACAGTCTGTGCAGGAAAAGTAAGTCAGTAAACAGAAGATGTTTTTAACACTRTATAAAATTTATTTCCTGCCAAACAGTAACAATTCCTCTTTGTTCAAATCGATGTGCATATTCTGCATGTCACACAAAATATTACAAAAATTATATAAAATATTTAACAATACATTGTTGAATTTACAGTACCCTCCAAAAAGTCTTTATGCCCCTTGAATTCTGTACATTTTGTCACGTCAATCCAAAGAGTTTGGACACAAATCCTTACTAAGCCTSCACATGAGAGGATGAGAATATTTATTAAAGCAGAAATGCGCCAAATAATTACAACATGTGCTGATATTTACACATGGTTAGCATAACCTCTCTATTTGATAAGATCTAAATGGAAATAAAAGTTTACAGGCTCAAAAAAGGATTTATTTTTGCTATTTTTAAACCAGAAAATCTGGTAGTTAGTCATGATCCATATGATCCAAACACAAAAACTAGACTACATACAACAGGAAGAACAGTTTTTAATCTTTACACTATTATGATTAATACTGCGATTAAGTTACACACAAATGGACACTATTTACTAATTAGGCCATTTCTGGAATTTAATTTTGGGGTTAGCATAAAGAAACTAAAAACCACAAATCATTTGCTCTCCGTGGTTGTGTTACTTTGTTGGTTTTATCAAATAAACCCCTCATAAAATACTTCAACTGTTGGGGTTGTAACATGCCAAAATGTGTAGAAGTTTATGGAGGATGAAGTTTTTTTTATTGCACTGTTGGACAAAAGGGAGCCAGTCTGTGACAATATCTCTGTGTGAAATAAGGACTAAGTAAAAAAACATGTTCCATGTGTTTGTTTGTTGGTTTGTTTGTTTGTTGGCAAACTGTTTGTGTGTCCTTAATGTGGCCCTCACAGAGAATTAGGTTGTGAAAGATTTGGAGCTAAGAAGTGGTTCCAGCACAGCCTGTTGGTGCTGCCAAGAGCCTGAAATCTGACTAATGCAGGTCCTGGCAGAACAGTTCCACAGCAATGTCAGAGCTGATCCTGGTCCTGGTCCTGGTCCTG